ACCCACTCCCTGCCCCGAACCCGATAACGACCCGTTACCCGACCCGAAATGATCGGGTTTCGGGTTTCCCCGTTGGGTTCGGGTTTTTTTTGCCATCCCTAGGACCATCATATGGTGTAAGAGAGTATTTGTATAAAAAAATCGGGCTCGAAGCAGGAGGAAATGTTAACCCCCGTTTTAATTTTAGGGGTAATGGCGGGCGTGGTTAGTCTCGTCCAGAACTCTCCATTGGGGGCTCTATTAATATATTGTATATATTAATTATATAAATATAATAAATAATAGCATCATTTTAAGCTGTCAAAATTTAGCAAAACATAATGTTTTTAAGTTATTGGTATAACATTTTTAAGACGTCATTAAATTTTTGTTTACTACAAAAATGTTCCCTATGGTATGTATTTTTTCTAGGTTTTAGTCAAAATCCTAACGTTTTTGGTTTCGTGGTCCTTTTGGCCATGTTTCTATTTGGAAATTGTTCCTCCGACTTAACTCCCATTAAGTTGTTACTGTTAATCCCCTAATGTGTCTCCCATGTGAGAGTATATTCGTCTTTACACTTTTTAGGGACCATTATTGTGGATGAAAAAAATTATATCCCTTTTAAATATGGTCCCCACCGTTGCGACCTTCCCGAAATATCTTTCTTCTTCCATTTCTTCCTCTTGAGCTCTTACATAACAATGGTGGTTTGCTTTTGTGGAAAGCTTGCAGTGGTGAAACATCATGGACCTTACTGAATCCCGGATGGAGATTTTATGCTTGTCCTATGAACGATTTTGTTTGTGTGTTTATTGAGTGGCTTGAACTGCTAATGTGTGCTAGGGCTAAAGTCAACATACCTGGTCTGTTAAGAAATTTGAATAGAGTGCAAGAATGGTGCAATTGATTGGTTAGCAAGAACATCTTGGTGGCAAATTGCAATGTATTGAAGGATAAATCTTTGAAGCTGAAAATCTATCTATTTGTAAGTTGGTTTATGTTTGTGATTGTTATGTTTGGTATTTGGTCTGTGTAGAGGTTACAATTAGACAAATAGGGGTGTTCCGCGGGGAGGGGGGGGGGGTTTAATAAGTGATCAAGGGTATTAGTGTAAAAATGAGGTTTTTATGTAAGTTGATTGATCATGTTTGTTATGAATTATGTTGTTAATGATATATATGGTATGTTGTTATGAATTATGATTTGATTATGTTATTATGAATTATGTTTTTAATGATATATATATATATATATATATATATATATATATATATATATATATGGTATGAAAGTATGAAAATGTGACAAAATAAGCACATCAATAGAACCAAAAGTACATACCAAAATATGTATCAACGTATAACCAAAATGTACCAAAATAAGCACATTAATAAAACCAAAAGCACATTACCAAAATATGCATCAAAGTATGACCAAAATGTACCAAAATAATCACACTAATAAAACCAAAAGTACATTACAAAAATATGTATCCGAATTTAACCAACTTGCAATGTCATGTGTATAAAAATGTGACCAAAATGCACATTTCATTAACCACATCGGTAGAACCATAAGTACATTTGTAACACCCAGTTTTGAAAGTACTCGGTTGTGGTCTCGGAAGCCAAAGGGTATGGGCGATTTGGTCTTTTATGGGTCTCGGGTTTTATCCGGAAGGTTTTAGGCTTGGGGGCGTGGCTAGGAGCGTAGGGCATCCCACCACCTTTTCATGGATATAAAGTTTGTCGTAAACGGACTTAGAATGAATGAGTTATGACACTTTGAAGTTATTGTCAATTTTAGCCCCTAATGGAGTTTTGTGACAAGGCAGCACCATGCATGCAAGGAATGCGTATGTGTGGTTAGCTGGGTATGCCTAGTGTAATCTGGGTTACGCCCAACGTATAAGGTTATATGGTCATAGGTGCGGAGAGGTGTACTCCTAGCGTACGCTCAGAGTCCCTAAACCCTAATTTTTAAGGGTATGTCACCATATAAAGAACATTATACCCTGAAGGATCGGCCTCCTTCTCACCCTTAGATAGTTTTCACGAAACCCTAATCTTCTTTGAGTGTTCTTGGAGCTAAGAAGGCCATTAAAGATCATTTTGGGGTTGTGGACCCATTTTCCAAGCAAGTGAAGAGCATAGCAAGGTGGAGGATCAAAGGAGAAGCAGTAGATCCAAGATTGTGGTTCCATTTCAAATCATCTTGAGGTATAAAGTCTGCAACTTTCCTCAAGTATGCTTAGATCTATGTGAATGGAGTTTTTGGACCTTTTAGGTCCCAAGAATGGACCTTTATGACTCTCGTTTTCTAGGTCCAGGGTTGCCACCCTTAGTGTCATATGAGTCCCATAAGCAGTAAAGTTTTAATCTTTAGGGTTTATTTGTGACCATGCATGAGATCTAGCCCTTTCCATGGAAGTTTGTTGTCACATTTCAAGTTTGGGCTCATTTGGTGGGTTGCAAGCCACCAAGTAATCAACTTTATGGATTAAGACGTTGAAGACGACTTGGATCTGTCATTGTAGCTTCTGGAATAGAGTATTAAGCACTTAATGGGAAAAGTAGCTTAACAGAAGAGTATGTTGGGTGTATATGCAGGTACGTGCAATGTACACCACCTTTGGGTCTTTGGGCTTGGTGTGTTTTGGGCCTCGGGTTGGGCTAAACAATGGACTTTGGGTCTTTGGGCATTAGTGGGCCATCAGAAATCAAATGTTTTGGGCCAAGAATATGTTTGGGCTTTGGGTAACGCCCATTAAAAGGGATTGGACCCAATTTAGCAAATCGGGCCATTAGTGGGCCAATAGTGTGCTTGGAAAGCCTACCTAGTGTTGGGCCTATTTGTATTAATAGCTTTGGGCCTTATATATGGACCAAGTTAAAATAGGGGTAAAATGGTCATTTTACCCTAAGGAGGATAATTGATTTGGACTAATTGTCATTTTGGGTAATGGTAGCTCGGAGAGTCGAGAGACCTACAGTTCGGGGATCCGCCAGCTAGCACTGAGAGGTTTATTCGCAAAGTTTACAATCGGTTTGTGAGGTGAGTCTCCTCACTGTTTGTATGGGTCGAAGGCACCAACATCGACCCATTTAGTTTATGTATGATAGGAAGACTTGGGGGTTAGCCTTAGGCATTACGTATGAAGGACCAAAAGGTGGCTCCTGGCACACAATATGTTATCATGTATGGTAGGAAGACCCAGGGGTTAGCCCTAGGCAATATGTATGAAAGACTAGGAGGTGACTCATGGCACACTATATGCCATTATGTATGAAAGACCAGGAGGTGGCTCATGGCACACTATATGTTGATTAGCTAAGTAGATTAGTATGTATGCTAGTTGTCTTTGTGATGCTTACATGGAAGATCAGTAGATGGCTCTTGGCACTTGTCTGTAAGACCGAGGGGGTGGCCCCAGGCTTGGCAAGAAAGACCACGTGCGACATGTGACATAAGGGCAAGATTATGTTTGGCACATAGCACCTTACTTGATTATGGATATGTTTGATATGTATAGCTCATAGCATGTATAACATGTATGGCTCAGTTGGAATGTATGATATGTGGTATTTGGGGAACTCACTAAGCTTCGTGCTTACGGTTTACAGTTTTGGTTTCAGGTATCTTCAGTTTTCAAGGAAAAGGAGTTCAGGACGATTGCAACACATTCACCCACGTCATTCCACATTATGTGATCCTTGGCATTATACTATGATATTTGTTTTAATTGAAATGTTTTCAATGTTTGGAACAAAATTATTGAAGGTTTTCTTATATTAAAAATGAAAATTTTGGCCTTGTATTTTGGGATGTTTCAACATTACCAAATAAGCATAAATGTGTAACTACACCATACATAATCACATCATCACAACCAAAATACAATAAAAGTGTCATTGCACCATATATAAATGTCTAACCAAAAAAGTGTCATTCATCCCTTTGTCTATCTTCCCATTAAACACTTCACACATGTTTGAAATCAACACATCAGAAATTGCTCTTCCTGTTGTACATGAAATAACATAGAATTAATACAATTAATGGGAAATTGAAATATATAATTACCATATTTACCATATTTACCTAAAAAATGACTTTTTGCATAGTGTGTAGGAGGAATCTGCCTCAACCACTCACATACCCCCTATTATAGTAGCCAAACTCCCTTATCAAATGGTCAAATTTATGAATGGTGGTTGTTGATGCACACTACCATAAAATGGTCCCTATAGTCAGTTTTGTTTCCACCTCCTTCTCATATTGTCATGAATATGTTTGAGACAATACATGTGCTCAACATTAGGAAACAATCGAGCAATTGCAGTCATTAAACCCTACATGAATCAAAAATCAATAACTAGAATTAAAAACATACATTGAAAATAACCAATTGTATAAGTATGCCTTACTTTTTTCCTGTCAGTTATGAAAGTAAAATTTGAGTTTGTTCCAAGCTCTAAGTCATCCCTAAGGTTTTCTAAGAACCACTTCCAGCTACTTGTTTTTCCAGACTCAATAGGTGCATATGCCAAGGGGTAAATTCCATTATTGGAATCCAGAGCTACTGTTGAACGAACCTAACTAAGGGATGATCCTTTCATGAAGGTATCATCCAAACCTAATAAATCCGTAATTCATGCCTTGAAACCTTTTTTAATGGACCTAAGCAAACATACATCCTTCTAAATTTCCTAGTAGCAGAAGCATGGTTAGACTGAGAACATACATCTATCTTTACTATGGTGTCTAGGTTGGTAGTTTAAAGTTCAAGAACATAGTCCCTCAACAGTTCATATTGTTTTGTGTAGTCACTAGTAACATGTTTTCTTTTCAAGTCTTTTGTGTAGTCCTTCATTTAATTCTTTTTTACTTTTAAATTTCAGACCAACAATGAAAGATACCTTGTGTATTTCCCCAAAGTTGCACCTTTTTTCTTTTCCAAAATTTTTGATAAGAGCTCTTCTTTGTCTGTCTTGGTATGATCCTTCATCCAAAGAATCCTACTCCTCATTGTTTATCACTCCCATGTCTTTAGGTTCATTACCAACATGAACATCATTAATACATACTCCTCCTTCCATATCACTGTCAACATTGAGAATGATGTCTTCCACGTCTACATCCACATCTTGGGTATTTTTTCCCTGGTCCATTGTGTAGTCCTCCTCATCATCATCTTCAGAGTGTTTCAATTTCTCAGGAGCCTCATCATCTTTAGAGTTTAAAATCATATCTTCATACTCTGCATCATCATCTTCATTCCTAATTAATGATTCCAATAGGTTATCAAAAAACTTATTAACTTGTTCATCATCATTAGCAGGGGGTGTTGTAGCATCCTTCAATATGATCGTTATACTGAACACCATTCATATCATCCCTACTTGGCTTGTAACATCCTTTAACACCCTCATTATCCATAACACCTGTTCTAGCATCATGAATATTATCAACATTTTTACTAGTAGAACCTTCAACACCATTATTATTTAGAACACTTGTTGTAGCATCATCAATATTATCAATAATCTTACTAGTAGAACCTTTACCTGTTGCAGCATCCTGATCACATGTCTTTTTCTCTAATTCATCAATGTCATCTAAATTAAGCCTCTTGTTACAAGAACCATCATATGTTTTGGAGTTAACAACTCTACCCCTTCAATACTCTAGTGAGAAAACATCAATTTTACTCCTAAAAAGTATCAAAGACATGTACTCACCAATATGCTCATCATTAACATGGTTCATATTTCCCAACGAAGATTCAACATGAACCTTAGTCTCTTGGACATCATATTCAGGTAATTCCTCAATCACAACTTTACCTTTTGCATTTGGAGACATAAAGTAAGTCAGTAAATTTGTCTTCCCATGTTCTGTGTAAATCTCAATCAACTTGTTATGTGGAATATATTTAGATAGATTGATAACATCTTGATCATTCCTTAAAGCTCTGAGACTAAATTGAAACTCACCATTGGGTATCTTAAAATGGTAGTATATCACGGGAGAGTTTGAGACATTGACTTCATTCATTCGTAGGTCTGGGTAACCAAGTTCAAGCATTATAACATCAAGTTCATGTACATAAAACTCATTTATGTCCACATAATCAGCATAACCAACTTCATCTCTAATGTATTTTATATCAAGTAACTTAGTAAACTTCCCATAATGGTGTAGCTTAATACTAAACCATGTCAGTCCACCCACTACAATAAACAATACATGATAAGAAAGTCAAAATTTTACATTTCGAGTATGAAAATCAAAGGGAAATGCTTTATAGGGAAGTAAAAAAAACATAACAACATACCATATGTGGATGATACGTCAAAAGCTTCATTTTTTGGTTTGATTTGCCACATTACATACACCATTTCGACTGGAAATGTATGAAATCACCTTATCTTTGTTGATTGATTATGGTTTTTGGATAAGAAATGAGGGTGGGAGGTTTTTACAAGTTGTAAGAGTGGAGAAGAAACAGTGAGGAAGGTGAGGACTTGACGTGCTTTGGGATCGTAAATGACGGTATATACATTAAATTAGGTGTTGACATATCATTTTCAAAAGTGGTCCTTAAAAGGTGAAAAGATGAATGCACCCTCATGTGGTAGGCACATGAGGGGGTTAACAAAAAAACAACTTTACGAGAGTTACGTCGGTGGACCATTTCCAACATGAAACATGGCCAAAAGGACCACCAAGTAAAAAAAAAATCAAGGTTTAGACTAAAACCCTGAAAAATGCATACCATATGGACCATTTTGCAGTTTAATCTAGACAAAATTGCAAAAATGTTCTCTGTGTTTAGTCAAAAATTGTCAACTTTAGTCCACAAAGTTTTGGACTAGTATCACCGGTCCAAAATAGACTTTTTATTGCGGTTTTGGTCCAAAATTTTTTAAAAACATTTAGAACGACAAATTTGCCCTTTAAATTTTGTTTTTTCATTTTTTTATTACACCAATTAAAAAAATTAAACAAAATACCATCAAATCTCATCCACTTTCTTTCTCTCTCTCTCTCTCTCTCTCTCCACAAAACGTCTCCCTCGTTCTGCTTTTTAGAAAAAGGAAATACACCACACCACCATTTAATAAAGATTTGAACCATATTTAACACAAATACACACCCTCTCTCTATCTATCTCTCTCTTCTTGATTCTTACATGTACATATAAGGATGACAAGACGAAGATTTGGGGAGCCAAATGAATATTTGAACAGATTCAACACAAATATACATGCAAGCATTAGATTTTTTTCCGTAGTTAATCTAATTCATGAAGATTTAACACAAAACCCATAAATCAAGTCAAAGAATATATCAGATAACACACAACCCCATATTTTCCATAGTTAATCTTATGTTCATCTAAGAGCTAACACACAAAAGCTTGAAATAAAAGGAAAGAAATACCACAAAAATACAATAGTTGAAAAACGAATATCGAATTTTCTTAAACATACGGAAATCGCAGCTAATACAAAAACCTAGATTTAACAAGGTCTCCATAAATCGACACACACGAACACATATACACATACACTTTAAAAATCAACATCTCCCCTTCAAATTCCGTTCCATCTTTATATCTCGGTTGTAGTGACAAAATTTGAATCAAGATTAGGGTTATGGAATAGATCTAGGCACATACGATGAGGGTTACCGCTAGATTTGGGCAGATACATCAATAGATAGAACAATATCGGTAACCATACATCGGAGTCACTGAAACCATTCTTATTGCCGGACATCAAAGTCACCAGAATCACCGTCATCTTTCTTCGTTTGTTTTCCCCGATGTCAGAAACCCTATAGCTGCGACGATGTTTGTTTTTTCTCTGGTGGTCATTTCAAGTCAAAACTTAGGGCTTATGTATATGTATGTGTGTGTATGTTTGAAGAAAACCTAAGGATGAATGCATTAGTCTGTTTCTTTTGCTTATAAGTTTGAAGAATACCATAGAGAGAGAGAGAGAGAGAGAGAGAGAGAGAGAGAGAGAGAGAGAGAGAGAGAGAGAGAGAGAGAGAGAGAGAGGTTATAATATTTTTCATTTAAAAATAAATGAAATACAAAAAATAATAATGAAAACAATGAAAATGGCAAAACAGTCATTCTAACTCATTTCAAATTTTTTAGGGACCAAAATTACAATAAATAAGTAAATAAATAAATAAATTTATATTTTGGAACAATGATACTAGTCCAAAATGTTTCGATCAAAGTGACAATTTTTGACATACCATAGGGACCATTGTTGCAATTTAGTATTGCTTTTAATAAGTAAAATTATGCTATAACTGATTATGAAAAAACTGCAAAAATGGTCACCATGGTATGTATTTTTTTCGGAAAAATGTCCAAACCATTAAACTTTTGGATGGATGGTCCTTTTAAGCAAGTTTGCTTTTGGTTTTGGCATATCAAATAAAATGACTATAATACCCTTAATTTATTTATTTTCGACAAAATTGCAAAAATTGTCCGTGTGGTATCCAAACCTCAATGTTTTTGACTTCATGGTCTTTTTGGCCATGTTTCTATGTGGAAATGGTCTCCGTTAAACTTAAAATTACTAATATGCCATTTTAAACTGTATTTCTCATTTTCTTAAACATTTTATCCTTTTATTTTAATATTAATGTAATAAAAAATAAAGTGGGGCCCACACACACTCTCTCTCTCTCTCTCTCTCTCTCTCTCTCTCTTAAATGCACATATGTGCTCATTCTCCCAATGACGTTCTTCTCTAATACTTCCCCTCATCGATCTTCTTTTCCAATGCAGTGTTGAATCCTTCATCGATTCATTTTTCCGCTAAAATCTCTCTAACAAAGTAATTTACCTCCATTCTCTCTGGCACCAAGGCCCTCCCTCAAGATCATTACCCTATATAAATCTACAACATATCATTCCCACTCAATTCAAGAAACACAAGAAAATCCCCAAATTTAAACCCAAGAAGGTCGACATTTCTCCGACACCGAATGGCCGGTGAAACCTCTTCCCGAATCCCCTAAATTAACTCAATCTGGATGGCCGGAATTGAAGCTAAAACCTAACCCACAACAAACAACTCTTTTACTAACACCGGAATAACTAGAAAACCAAAAGTGGAACCAGGTCCATCACGGGGCATTGAAGGTTGCGAAAGAATTTTATTTCAGAAATAGCGGTAGCGATGATGAAGAGAGCGATGGAGACGACAATATGGATGAAGAAGATAGTGATGTTAGTGAGAAAGAGTACGATTTCTTTTGGAAAATGTTTATCGATGATGAAGAATCGAAGGGTTATTATGGAAAGCATTATGGTGATGAAGGTGACTTTTCATGTCTGGTCTGTGGCACAGTGAATGAGAAGAATCTGAAGAGGTCGAAATAGTTTAAGGTGTTGTTTGTTTTTTTGAAGCAAAAATCCATAAAGTCTGCAGACCACCCTTGCAACCCTCTACAGTAGAAGAGGTGGACCAAACGGCTGCAGATTGTAATAAGAAGCGTGTTTGTTTTTTAAAATCTGCATGCTGCTGTAGATATTAAAAAATTAAAATAAATTGATTTTGTAATCCGAAAATAGTTTTTAGTACCGAAAATTAATAATGATATTTCATCAACAAATTATTATTATTCAATATAAAAAAAGAAAAAAAAATTTCAACAAGAATAAACAAAAAAAGTGAAATAAGATTTTAGCAATATATAATAAATATTTTAGCAAGAAAAAAAGAAGAAAAAGATGTTGGAAGAGGTAGGAAGAGGCAAAACAAGTGTTGCGTCAAGAAGAACACGCACATATGTTTTTTAATCCGAAGACTTTTGAGAAACAAACAACTGCGATATAAAAAGTGTTGCGCGTGTGTTGCGCCGCGCAACAATAAGATGTCTGAAAATGTTTTTTTTTTTCCAAAAAACAAACAACACCTAAAGAATGTGTTGCTCTGGTTCGAACATACGATTTCCATTGCAAAAATGAAGAAGATTAGATCACACAGAGCTTATGGCCGATTTATCTGTAAATTTCTTGGGTGGGATATCCATAAGCTTCCTATTCAAATTGTTACAGAGCATAAGTCTAGTGAATTATAGGTATCCCATAACTGAAACTTCATTGAATTTGATTAAAAAGTTCATAATTTCTTGTATTTGCAAGAAAATGATGTTAATGGTGGTTTTAATTCGGGTTTTAAGAGATTATGAACGATGGGTTGTTGAATCTTGATGAAAAAGCTCATGTTTCAGAAACATGAATTTATGGTTTGTGATGAGTCTCTAGCAAAAGCAAACGTAGAAGAAGAAGATACATGATTATTTTTTTTTTTTTTTTTTTGAGAGAGAGAGAGAGGTGGATCCTATATTATTTGTTAATTGTTAAAATAAATAAATAAATATTAAATTTTAAAAAAATTAAAGAAAAATACCCCAAGGGTATTATAGTCATTTCAATTTTCGGAGGAACTATGTTCACATACAAACTAGTCTAAAAGGACCACGAAGCAAAAAAAATCGTTGTTTGGACTAACCCCCAAAAAAGTGCATACCACAGGGACCTTTTTTTTTATTTTTTATTTTTTATTATTTTTTTTTTTTACATTTTTGTCTTTATTTTTCCATTTTTCTTTCATTTATTTATTTATTTATTTTAGTACTTAATTATCTATTTTAGCGCAATTCCGATGTTTATCTATTTTAGTAATTACAAAATAAGAGAGGTCATCTCTCTCTCTCTCTCTCTCTCTCTCTCTCTCTCTCTCTCTCCCGCTCACACACACACACCCAATCTCATATTCTCTCCTTTCCTTTCACCCCTTTCATACTATTTTACATCTGCAAGACTTGAGAACCAATAAAGCTAGGGTTCCCATGATTACACGTCTAACATAAGGCCTAGGTTCCCATTTAGGGAAAAATCGATCTACCTTCTATCACCGATAATGATATGATGAAGATGATAATGAAGCGGTGAAGATGGTGAGGATGATGAGTTATAAAGTTATTACATGAATGATAGTAAGGGAGTTAATGCAAAGTCACAATGGTGTTGGTTCTCGGCTGGTGTGATGGTTGAGTAAGGCTGATGATGGTTGTGAGATGGCAAAATATTTTAATTAAATACTCGTTTAAGTAGCATAAGATGAAGACTTGAGAATCAATATGGTTCAAGATCCCTATTATAATAAAAGAATAATTTTATTGTCCTTTTGATATGTGTTATCTTATTATCTTTTTTAATTAATGTATATTTTATTCTTCTTTTACCATATATCACCTTATTATGTCCCATAATTAATGCATCCATTTGTCAATTCCATTTCAAATTTTCAACTCAAATTATATTAAATTAATAATAAGTTAATAATATTAGAATAAAAACTAATACAAATTATAAAATGATATAATTTCATATATTTATTTAAATTAATGATTAAATTTATATAACTATAAAAATCTTTTAATTAATAATTTAATTAAATAATTAATTAATAATTTTAAGTTTTTACTATAAAATTTTAATTAATTTTTTAATCGTGGTTTCCACCGGTTATAAACTAGTAAATAAAATATATTAAACCACATTCGTATCAATGACCACATCTATAAGAGATAGATAAATTAAATAAAGTAAGAATTGATTAGGGATGATAAAACATGTTTTGGTTAAAATTTTAACATTTCAGGGGTTAATTTACAACTGTTACAAAATGCGAGGGACGGAAATGCTTCTGCACTAACCTGAGAGGGGTTTGTTGCAATTTCCTCATTTATTTTATCGCTACAAAACTTTAACCTAAACCTCGCTCCAAAGTCCAAACCCTCACACTTCACAATCAAAAACGACAGCAGAAACCCTAGACAGAAAACAGGGATGGCGGAACAGCAACTACAGCAAGATGGCTACCAAATTGACATAGGGAATCTCATGGCGTATGATCCTCAACATCAGTTCCAATCTATTCCCGATAAAAGGTTCCAGTTCTTACCCTAAATCACCGACATTAACTTACTGTTTTTGCCCAGACCCCGGTATCTCTATGGAAGCACATCAGTTCGACCAACTATGAGTTTCGTTTTCAAGTCCGAGTGGAGAATTTGAGTTTTTTGCCGTTAAAAACTTTGGTTTTTGCTCTGGTTAACAAATTCGCCGTTTAGAAGTTGTTTAAGTTTTAGATTTGAACTGCTATCGTGTAGCTATTTGAAAACTATTTGGTAAGTTAGTGGTTGTTTTGAAATAATCAAGTACGGTTCAAGTCTGTATCATGCTTAACCCACGCAAAGTTGAATAGAATTGCATTGCTGTGTCAGTAGATAACTAGAATATTGATTTAGGTATAATCAGGGTAATTTAGTTAAAGATTGAGATTGATTCCCCAAATCCCAAATTAGTTTGTTTCATTATACAAATTTGTTGGATTCACTTTTATGTTGATGCAACAGAATGTCTTTTTTTTTTTTTTTTTTTTTTTTCCTTATCTACTTCCAAAGAATCATTTGATTCCAGAATATAAAAGTTATGTTTTGATTTTGTAATATTATTAATTATTATCTATCGCTACTTATTTGTTGCTAAGTTGTTTTCTTGTTGATACTAGGGAGGATCTTGTAAAGGAGTGCATAGCACATGCTACCAAGTTAATTCAAGCAGTTGCAGATAATCTTTTTAGCTTGCCTTCAACAGAAGATGCATCCGGGCCCATTGTTCCCTTACCTCCTCCAACTACAAAATTACCTAGAGAAAAACCTGTATGTTGTTCTCCCTCTTCCATCTCTTCCTCCTTGTTTCTTGTTTATCTGCACACTAGTATTATAAAATGTTCCTAATCTTTCTCCTTTTCATTTCATTTGTGCTTGTATTAGCATATAATACTAATAAGAAGTTGAAAGTATCTTCTAATCCTATTTTGCTTCATTCCTATAGCTCCCAAAACCTGCACCTCCAACAAAGTGGGAAGTTTTTGCCAAAAAGAAAGGTCAGTAAATAAAAATCTCACCTCTCTTATTTCGTTAAACCCTCTAATGATCCTTGCTGATGTCATCAATCCTTTCCGCAGGTATTCAAAACCGCAAGAAGGACAAAATTGTCTTTGATGAACAAACAAGTTCTTGGAAGCGCAGATACGGTTATGATCGTGTAAACGATGACAACGATCTTCCAATCATTGAAGCAAAAATGACAGATGGTAAATATATAAATAGCAATCACTTCATTTTGTTAAATGAATAGCAACTTTATGTCTTTATCTTATAAATATTTAAAATTTTGACCTTTCTCAGAGCCAGGAGTAGACCCTTTTGCCACAAGAAGATCAGAAAAGAAACAACGAGTTGAAAAGCAAGAAAAGAATCGCTTGCATAATCTCAAAGAAGCATCAAAAGTTGGTGCTCTCCCAAGGTTTGACCTTTTTTTTATTACCAAATTACCAAAATACCCCTGTCAGTTTCATTCCCTTAATTTTGTCCACCTTTATTTTGCAGCCATGTTCAGCTTGCAGCTACTTCATTACCTATAACAGGAACACAAGCTCCACCAAGAAAAGTCAGCAAGGATGAGCTGCAAAATGTTGCAGGAATGGCTGCAACTTCAACTGCTAGTGGGGGTAAATTTGACAAAAAGTTGGCTGGTGAAAAGCCTCCTAAACATGATAAGAAATATAGAAAGGTTTGTGTTTTAAATCTGAAAGTTGTTTGATCAAAATCTTCACATGCATCTTTGATTATAAATTTATAAGAAAGTTTTCTTTGATTTGTACAGTTTTTACCTGTGGTGGAAGGATCAGGGATGGGTTCATTAGAGAGGCAACAATCTGACAAAATTTTAAATAAATTAATGGCCAAGAATTCCCATGAAATCTTCAATGTTTCTAAGGTATGACCACATTCTTTTTTATATCTTTAGTTTTGTAGATTAAAAATTCATTTTCATTTCTAAATTTGATTTATTATTATTTTTTTTTCTGAAAAATAGGCTGTGGACATGTACAATGTGAAGAATGACAAGAAACGAAAAAACCAGCAAGGCAAAAACAAGTCCTTTTCAACTTCAAGCAAATTAAAAGTGAAGAAAAGCCCTTACAAAAGTGCATCAAAGGGATCATCAAAGAAAGGATCTTCAAGTAAATCTAAATCTAAGTGAAATGCATTTTTGGGACATTAGAACTTTTACCAATAAGGTAATTTTGGTATTGTAGCGTGTGAGTTATGTTATAGTATTTTTGTCCTTTTTGGTTTCATTATACATTATTCACCATCAAGTTATCAATCTTTTTCGATTTTATGGAGTTTTATTCTAAATTAGATGTTATAAAATTATAGCCAAAAGAAGTCATGGTTGCTAAAAGTCGATTTATGTTTTATGTGGTTGTTTGATAACCTATAAATGAAACCATTTAGAGTTCACGTCATAAGAATAAGGATCCCTACCTTCCCCGTATGTTTAATTGAATGTTGTTATCAAGTGGCATGGTATATAAGTTTAAGGGTTTTTTAAATTTTTTTTCAAAAGTTTCAATAAAGCTTTAAAAGTTTTTTTTTTTGAATAGAAAAATCCTAATATTTTGAAAAAAATTTATAACTTATCATTTGCCGTTCAAATATAAAAATGTTTTTTTCATTAATTTAGGAAAAACATTAAAATATTGAGATTTTTCTATTAAAAAAAACTTTTAGGATTTGATTGCAACTTTTGAAAAAAGTTTGAAACTTTTCTGTAAATAACCTTTAAGTTTGAAAGTACCGAAAACTAATGATTATGGGTCTTTGACTAAGTTAACTTTAATAGTGTTAATGTTTTAGTTGGATTTGGAAAAATAAATAAAATAAGAGATGTTTGACAAAACTAGCTACTAGCCGGTAAGGTTGGAGAACTCGTTATTCGGTACCTGTTCGGCCAACTACCGAGTAGCGAGTACTCGGGGAGTACTCGGATTCGGTAATTCATGTGGAAATATTTTTAGGGAAATTATATATGTAAAAATCATAAGTTGATTGAAATATATAACAAAATTAGATACATATGAACACACAAAAGTTAAAAAAACACATAATAGTTTCACTTCGTGAATAATTATTGAAAATTTTAGATATATATATATATATATACAGTAATAATCACATGTGTGTGTTAAATAATAAATCATTAAGTCTATTATACATACAATCACCGAGTTAACCATGTTTTACAACAATACTCAGTTCAGTAAAGGGGTCGATTGGGGAGTACTCGACATTCCGTAACTCGCCTTGGTAAAGGGCCGAGTAGTGAGTGCTGAGAGGAGTAATCGGCCGACTTGGCGAGTTTTAAAACACTGCTAGCCGGTAAGGAATTCGGATTTTTCATATTAAAAAAAATATTCGTTATCCGACCCAAATTAAATTCGGGTAATTTTGGTTTGGGTAATTCGGGTAGTGGGTCGGGTTTGGGTAATTCGGGTATTACCCGAAATATATAATTTTTTTTGAATTGAACATGAAAATAAATTTAATGAAACAAATACATCGTGCTTTATTAGTCTTGTTTATATAAACAAATGAAACATAAACGAAGTTACTAAAACTTTGATCATTAAGATTTTTTAGTCAATAATCTAATCTAATAAGATATTAAAAATTCAAATACTTAAAGATATTAGTTTAAAAGTTTAAAATGTTTTAAGATAATTTTAGCCATAAGTTTTTGAAGTTTCATCAAGACAATGAGTTTGTTAGTTGCAATAAAAACTATAATTTAGAACACAGTTAAGTTTTAAAGAACATAGTGGTATATAAAGTATAAGCGATTGTTTTTAATATTGTTAGTGTCATACTGTCATAATAAAAGAGATTCATGTTTTACAATAATGATAAATAGTTTAAGTGTGATCAAATACGTACTACAGAGTACAAGCTCTATGAAAAAAAAGTATTTTTAAAATAATTCGGGTAATTGTGTTATACCTGAAACCCAACAAACATACCCTATACTCGACAAAAAAATTGTGTTACCTGAATACCCGAAATTTTTTACCCGATACTCGATTTAACCAATACCCGAAAAAATCGGGCGAGTAATTTGAGTATCGGGTATTTTCGACAGGGCTACGAAAGCTTATAAAAATGTAAAATTAAAAAAAAAAAACAAGTAAAAACCTCCAAAAAGCTAGTTGAAGCAGTTGTGCATTTTTAGAAAGCAATAACTATAAAATAAACTGAGTTGGTTGAAGCAGTTGTGCATTTTTGAATTGTGCATTTTTAGAAACCAATAACTATAAAATAAACCGAGTTGGTTGATTTTGCAACTATATATTGTGCATTTTTTCTAAACCTGACAAAACACGACATAACACGAAAACTCGACACGAAATTAGCGGATTAGGGTCAGAGATTTTGACACATTTATGTAAACGAGTTGATACGACACGACACGATTATTAAACGGGTAGTGTTAGGGTCAAGACTTTCAACTCGAAGATGACTCAAATATGACCCGTTTAATTATATATTCTTTATTATAAATTTCATATTTTTATAAATATATTATATGTTATAGACTTGTAGTGGACCAAACTTAATAATTAGAAGTAATATTCAAAATTTCAAAGTTACTTAATTTTAGTCATCCTCACCACCTAACTCTTTTCATTTTTCATTCTAAACTTACTATAAGTTTTGTCATTCAATCTCATAACTCGAGTGTTTCACTTTTTCCTTTTTGCCTCCACAACTTCTACTTTCCAACATTTAAAATATTTCAACTCGGCATGATACTATATATTTACAAGGTCTAAACCTTAACCTAAAACCCAACACAAAAATAAACGGGTTGACACGACACGACACGATAATTAAACGGGTCAAGTTAGGGTCAAAGCCTTTAAATCCGTTTAATGTTTTGACAAGACACGAACCCGACACGATACAACATGTTTGTTAGGTCTAATTTTTTCTTTGTAATGTGTTTTATATTGTTCCAATGAAAGGTTCAAAGAAAAAACCTTCCATTTTGGAATGTGACATTGCGACAATAACATCTATAAAATTGCATAAAAAATAACTTTTTCATTCATATCTGACATGTAACCACGTTGATCCGAAAAGCAAACAAAAGATTTCAGATGAGAACAATTCCACATTTTCAATGGAAGTGATTTTGCGTGAGATACACAAAATATAACAAGTTGATTGAGGTGTCCTACATTCATATTTTTATGAAAGTTTGGCATTTTGAATCCTATTTAACAAAGAAATAAGGCTCAAGCTCTTTCATCTTTTCTACTGTACAAAATTCTTCAAATACATTTTGTTTGGGCAAACTGTACTTTTGTGTTAAAAAAACATAAAATTTCAACAATTTGTATTTGCTTTCTCTTTTAGAAAAACCTACGATGTCTTTGTGCCAAGAGGAACGAAACCATAAAATAATGAAAATACATTAAATGATACCAAATGAAAGAAGAAAACCATAAAAAAGTCACGATATTAAAATGATAAAAGGATATAGTCTAGAGGGGTATTTAGTTAGACTTCTATATATATATAGGGAAAAGTGAATATACCCTTAAGGGTATATAAGCTTAGGTACCCAAACACATCATAATACATCGTTTTGTTTGATATATTCATTATAATGTTCTTAAACTTCAACCCCCAACGTTATTTACTTTCAATATTTTCAAATTTTCACTAATTATCTTTCTCTTTTGTCACATCTTTTTGTCGAACACCTACTAGGTTTTATATATTGTCGTTGAAAATGAAAATTATTTAAGAGAAAGTTAAATGTGTAATTTATAAAAATCATGGAAGTAAATCAAGTTAGAAGTTAAATTACATGAACATTGTACAATTAGAATATATTATATGATATAAAACTATGTAGTATGGTGACTTTGGGTACCTAAGCTTATATACCCTTATGAGTATATTCACTTTTCCCATATATATATATATATATATATATATATATATTCACTTTTCCCATATATATATATATATATATATATATATATATATATATATATATATATATATATATATATATATATATATATATATATATATATATATATATGGGAAAAGTGAATATACCCATAAGGGTATATAAGCTTAGGTACCCAAACTCACCATACTACATAGTTTTATATCATATAATATATATATATATATATATATATATATATATATATATATATATATATATAGAGAGAGAGAGAGAGAGAGAGAGAGAGAGAGAGGTGGGTTCAATTGAGAAAATAAAAAAGGTTGAGAATGGAGGAATCATTCTCAGCCACTCATTTTATTTAAGCATAAAAGACACGGTTGCAAACTTGTAAATATCGTAATAACCTTCAATCTCAAATACGTAACTATAAAGAATTCGATAACTGTTCGTTCATCATCAAAATTTTTCCTCTAACCTTCAATAATCATCCAGATTTCTTCAACTAAACCGGAATTTCTTCGCTGTTCATGAAATTGAAATCGGAGTTCTGGACTTGCAATCACAGTTGACATTGAGGGACTTAGAATCGGTACTCACAGGTTTCCAATTGGATTTTCGGAAATCAAAATCAAATTGAGAAATCGATCAGAGATAGGATGTCGCATCTGAAGTCGAAATCGGAAGTATATGATGATTTGGAATTGATAACTTGATGTTGTTAACATTTTTAAAATAGTTATCTTGTTTGCACTCCAACTGTTTGATGAAATGCATAAACTAAATTACCACGTTATATTCACATATGAATATGTTTTCTCACCTGAATCAGTATATGATTATTAAGAACACATAACAAATATGCAAGTCTGTATGTTATTCATATGTGAATAACATATAAAAATTATATATATTTGTCAAAATACCTTCAATATTCATAAGTGAATATACCTTGTAATATTCATATGTGAATATACTGTGTAATATTCATAAGTGAATATATCATCTAATATTCAAAAGTGAATATACTCTGTAATATTCACATGTGATATACCATGTAACACTATGTAATATTCACATATGAAATATCATTTAATACTCATAAGTGAATATACCATCTAATATTCACAAGTGAATATACTATGTTAATATTCACAAGTGAATTCATCGTCCAATATTAAAATATGAATATACTATGTTTATTATATGCTATATTTATATATGAATGATACTTAAATTGTAAAAAGAAAAAAAATCATACTTTTTATTCATAAGTGAATAACGAATGTACTATAATAAAACCTGATGCATTGTTATTCATTTATGAATAACGATAGCTGAAAATATAAAAAAAAAATATTTTTTTTATTATAAAACTATATCAATATGGATGTCTATTTGTAGAGAATAAAAAATCATTAATTTTGGTATATTTAAAATCATTTTTTGATAAAAATAGCTTATAAAAATTAAAAAAAAACGAAAAAAACTATGTTTTTGTATATATTAAGGTAATGATTAGCATAGTTTAAGGAAATATGTTATGTTGGAAAACACATGTGCATTCGTTTGCCATTTCCGCCGATACGTTGGAGTTTTTTGTGGCAAAAATAAATGATTGGCTGAGAATGATTCCTCCATTCTCAACCTTTTTTTTTTCTCAATTGAACCCTCCTCTCTCTCTCTCTCTCTCTCTATATATATATATATATATATATATATATATATATATATATATATATATATATATATATATATATATAAACAAAATTTATCACAATAAGACTAGACATATAATAAACTGTCGTAATTATATTAGTGAGTAAGGTCTTGTTTGATGTAAGTTTAACCGAGTTGGGTCAGACGTTTTTGGCTGACTCGGTCAGCCAAAGTTGTTTGTTACGTGGATTTTGGATGTCTGATTCAATAAGCTAGATCTGACCCGAAAAGATGAGAGATATCTACTGACTGAGAAAGAGATTAACGATTCCAAAATTGCCCTTGCCCAAGCGTTCTAATTTTTCAGAGCCTTCACCCCGTTTCTTCTATCTTTCAGCGACGATCGATGAGTTGAGCATCTCCCCCCACCGATCGACGATTTGAGCCTCAGCCCCTATCGATCGACGATTTCTGTTTCTTCTTATTAGGTACGGCTTTTGTTCTTGATTTAATTTGTATGAAAATTTTGGACTGTAAATGTTTTGATAATCCAAATCGCAACAAAATGGATTGAATCCACATGTTTGAGAACTCTATGTGATGCTAGCAATGAATCTTCTCCTTTTAAATTTGGAATCTTTGCAGATGCTTTCACAAGCGAAGTTGCTTCTTGTAAGTTCTTCGAGAAGTATTTATATTGCCGTTGGTGGGGTTTAAGAAATTTAAGGTATGTATACGAAGTCATTCCTTACTTCTAATTCCAATTTTAGTATCTTCTTCTTTCCAAGTTCATATGGACAGAATCTGGACACAAACATCTTTATTGGGGAGACATTGTTCTGCATCTTCATGTGTATCATACGCCTAATTCTATTTGCACAACTGATAGGAAACATGCCGGTAGATTAATTACGAAACATGTGTATATATATTTTGGTGAATCTTATATATATGTTTGATGAATCTGATATATATATATATATATATATATATATATATATATATATATATATATATATATATATATATTTATTTATTTATTTATTTATTTCTAACAGGAAACAAAATTTTGAGTGATAGAGTTTGAGTTGATTTTGTGGTAACACATAAAGTGTCTTTTTTAATCTTATTATGATGATGAACTTGAGTTGATTTTGTGCAGGAACTTGAGTTGGAGAAATTCATAACACATGAATTGCCATTTTGTGAGATCATTAAGGCTTTTGATTTGATGCTTAAAGGTGAAGGTCTCCCATGCATAATTCGGATGAGCGAATAATTTTAATGTTATCGTATGCCTACAATGTTATACCACACTTTGGTATAAATTTTATATTTCTATCAAGTTTCATAAATTTTTGATTAATAGTATATTTTAAAATAATATTACATGTATTAGATAATTTTATTTTTTTTAGTAATAGTATATTTAATAAAAAGATTCTTGAACATCGGGGTAAAATGATCATTTTGCACCATTCAGCAAATTCAGTCATATGTACAGTCAAACAACATAGTTTTTTACTCGGTTAGAATTTATTATTCAGACATATCTTTTTCAATCAACACTTTTTCATTCAGGAACTATCAAATGAGACCTAAGACTAAAAATAGATAAAATGTCCATTTACAAATAATCAACGAATATAATTAGCAATGGGAAACGTGACAAAAGCCACTTAATTCCAGCGAATCAACGATCGACAAAAGTTTCCTAATACGTAAAGTAAATTCGGACCCTTTGACAATACGAGCATTATATGGTCGTACACTCCATATAAATAAAAAAGGGTTGTGCTATAAGTATCCCTTTAACCAAATTTATCCCCTTAAACTCAATCTAATCAATTTTTTGACATTTGATTTGATCAGTTTTTTTGTTTATTTTACATTTGATTTGACATCATTAGATTTGATATATATATATATATATATATATATATATATATATATATATATATATATATAATGTCAGCCGATTTTAAAAATTGATCTATAAAATATAAAATAAAAAAAATTAAAAACCGATTTTATATAGTTGTTCGAATTTATAATGTTATCCGATTTTGAATATATTGTTCGAAATTTATAATAATAATAATAATATTATTAAAATATATAAAAAAATCATTAAAAATTGATTTTATATCACTTCTCAGATTTTAGAATGTCGTTCAAATTTAAAATTTTGTTTGAAATTTATAATAATAATAATAATAATAATAATAATATAAATTAAGAATAAATTAAAAATAACAAAAACTCAAAATAGAAAAAGAAAAGAGAAAAAGTCAAATAGGGGTAAAATTGAAAAATTGAGGAAGTATTTATAGAAAACCCCCATAAAATTACTTACATATACGTAATAACCATCATTAATCACATATGAAGTCATTTCCCAATAAAATAAAATATATCACATCAGGCATCTCTTATCATGAGTAACAATCGAAAGATATGACATTTTCAAATTTCTTTATGTAGAACAAAATGACTATGGGATCAAAACAAAAACTATCAATAGCGTCTAGCGAAACAATCAATAAAATGCTGACAACTTAAAAGGACTAAAATATGAATGTGTGAATAGTTAAGGGGGTATCTCTATGTGTTATCAGAAATTATTGGTAACACGTGGTGTGGAACTTTTGTGTCGAGCCACCCAGTTCCCAATTGCATTCTACCATTCCACACTCACACACGCTCTCTCTCTCCAAGCTTCATCAATGGCGAAGCAACGATCTTCTTCTCTATTCTTCTCTTCACTCTTAACCCCAAGAGGCGATACCCTTCTCTACCTCATCGCTCTCCTCTCGATTTTCTCCCTCATCATCCACCACATCTCCCTCTCCGCCGCTGCTGATTCCCATTTCGAAGGCTTTGACGCCGATGACGAAGTTGAACTCGATGACGACTCTCTTCTTCTCCAATCATCACTCTCTGATCTCCCCCGCCGGTCCCCTCCTCCTTCCACCACTTTATCCACCTCTTCCGATCCTGAATCCCACCATGGCCCACCTAACCCACCCTCATCCCAGCCGGCCGATTCCGATCTCGCTACCAAACCCTCAACCCCATCTTCTTCATTTGAGTATTGGGATGAAGATGAGTTTGAGGGCTTCCCTACTGAAATAACACCCCCTGAAGTCTCCAGAATCACTGAACCTACCACACCGGGTGGTTCCGAATCTGCTGCTCCGGAGGATACCGAAAAGATTGCGCAACCGACTTCAGCGAAGAAGAGTATTGGATCGTTTACTATTGAGATAACATGTGTATCAATCTTAATCATATTCGCGATCAATTTTTTTACTGGCAAAAAAGAGAATGAAACCCTAGCCCTAGCTTGGGCGGCTAAATTCGCTACTAATGATTCGATTTTCGAGAAGAATTTTAGTTTGTTGGGTGTGGGAGAAACCGATGACTCTCCATTGTTGTTGAAAGAAGGTCAAAACGTGTTCAAGTTCTACGCCAGTGGGCGTAGGTTTTGTCAAGGATTGTTGGCTACAATGGAGCTGAAGAGCCGCCATGATTTGATAGCAAGGCTGTATAACATGATTGTTCCTTGTAAAGATGAGATCACGTTTGAGGTCTATATGAATGACGATGCAATGGATCATGTGGTTTTTGCTTTGGCTAAGAAGAAAGCTGCAAAAACTATGCAGAAGGAATTGAGAGATCTTCAGAGGTTTGGGAATTTGATGCCTGCACCCACCAATCGGAAATGGGTTGCTGATGAATTGAGTGTCATTACAGAGTCTAAAGAGGTTGCCGGAGATTTGATCACCGAGGCTGTACTTGATCAGGTCAGTGATTATTCCATGTTCTGTATTTGTAATGGTTGTTTACTTGTTTTTACCATTTCATTGGTTCTATTCTATTATCTCCATTAGGTATTTGGTGAAAAAGCATTCGAGAAATTTGGGAAATTGTTCATGTCAATGCATTTCTCTGATCAACATCCAAGTACCCACAGGAAGATCTTGATTTTTAAGTTTGCTCTTCCTGCTGCCGATCAAATGGCTGACATGACACGACTAGTGGCTCTAATTCCCTATTACATTGATTTAATTGGTCGTTACAAACTCAGTTCACAGGTACATTTTCTTTTCTTCACGCAATAAATATCTGTAAAAAACTCAATCTTCCATCTCTTTTCTTCACAGAATAACATTTTGAAACTGTTGAAAACAGGCTAGATCCAAACCAGAAGCAGCAAGAGCAAAGCTTGCACAAGAAGTATACAAGGAGCTTCAGTATGCAAGACAAGAAGCAATTCAGAGAAAGAAGATAGAGAAGAAGAAGATGATCGAGGAGGCTGAGTCAAAGCTGAATGCTGAGGCTTTACGCAAGAAAGAAGCAAAAGAACGTGCTCGACAGTTGAAGAAAGCAATGCCCAAAATCAAAATGTCACGTGGAGGATAGGAAGAACATATACAGGTCAGCTTGTTACTTGTTAGTTCACTACTCTTTCTTTTTCTCCTTTCTAGTTCTTGTTACTTCTTTTATGCTTTTTATAGCTAGAAACATAATAGAATCTGTATGTGGTCACTGCAATGCATTGTACTTTAGTGGTTTGTACTTCTGTTTTCAGTCAGATTAAGCAATTCTACTTGTACCTCTAGTTACTTTTTTGAATTCGTTCAAAAGTCTAAATTGGTTAGTGGAAGTTATTGAAAGTAAGAAAGGGGAGGGGGAGATTGAGTAAATCATTATCCTTATCATCATATTCATGTGGTTATTAATTATTATCGTATACTGAGTGATGGCAAACGGACAACAAACTGCTTCGCTAAACCTTTTTGTATGGTAAAACTAATTATTTTGAAGACTACATCCATAGTTATAGGGGATATAATGCATACATTGCTATGCATGATCTGTTGTCCTCTATTAAGAAGTTCCACCGCATCCGACGCGAAGAAACCAAAAATATCATATGTAAATGGTATGAACACATGTTGATTTTTCATGCACGATTGCTCATGTTTGGTGTCTATAGCAGTTTTTAAAGCAACTTGTGTCCAACCGTGAAACCCTCAAGCCCACAAGAAGTGATACCCATTACGGTCCAAACATGTGTGTTTCTTTCCAACTCATCCAAAAATCAAAACGTCTACCTGTAAGGTCCACACATGTGTGTGGTTATTGAGCATAGTTATCGATAGCGAATAGCGGTAAATAGCGACGGGCCACCTATAAGCTACGTAGCGAATAGCAGTAAATAGCGACTGCTATTTCGTATTTAGCGATAGGTATAAAAGTATTAAAAAATATTTATTATATACCTATTATACGTATTTAGCAACGTTTATATGTATTTATGAGGTGGACGCAAGGATTCAAAGCAGAGCAAGTCCAAAGCATAGAGGCGGGAGACGAACGAGACTGAATTTTAGTTAGCACCAACCCTAATACGTTTATTCCAGTTTTTTAAAAAAAAACCCCTATTGCTAAAAGTCCCGCTTTCTGTTGCTATTTAGTCCATAGCGGTCGATGACCGCTTTGCCACGCTATTCGCTATAGCGACCGCTATGGTCGCTATTGACAACTATGTTATTGAGTTGATGTTATGTCATCACATGGTTACTATACTAATTAGTATTACTTCACGGGAAAACATGATGAAAAAAATGTAATTTGTTCATGTTATTGGGATAGTTTAAAGATTAGTTGGTTATAGTTAAAAGATAAAATTGCAAGAATGATCCATGTGTTATGTTACAACTCATAAGTTTGGTCCAAAAAGGTTTAGACATATGCTAGTGGTCTAAAAGTTTGATTTTGTTGATAGTTTGATCCAAAATTTTCAAAAATTTTTATATAGAAAAATTTGCCTATGCTACTTTCTTTTTTTCCTTTTTATTAATTACATTACAATTTTTTAATTAGAAAGAAAGACAAAAAAACATCTCTCTCTCTCTCTCTCTCTCTCTCTCTCTCTCAAAAAAGAACTAACCAAACAAACAAACACCTATCAGCAAAATATGAACACCGTGCCTAAAAAATATGAACAACCACCACCAATTGTTGGAACCTTGTCATCTTTTTGCTGGAATGTCGCCCTACTTCCTTCTGATTTTTACAAAAAGCAAATACCGACACCACGATCGGTTGGAAGAAAAAAAAATCAGTGATTTATGTTCGTTGGAGATAACCATTACTAATGTTGACCTTTTTGGATCTTCAAATCCTCCACCTTCGCAAACCCTAGCTTCGATCTATACACCATTTACATAATGCGACAATGAAACCTGAAGAAGATGATAGTTTAGGGTTTTTCGACTTGTTTAGATTTGAAACCTCCATGGCGGCGACACTATCTCGCTCTCAACCTCACTAATTGATCGACTTGAAGATATTAACTTCACAACTCAATGAAACCGTAAATAGAATAACCAAAAAGGCAACTTAAATGTATTGATAAACACATTAGTCTTTCGAGAGGAAAGGGACTCTCCAAGAAACAATTCTCTTTGTAATTCTTAGCTACTAAAAACAAGGGAATGACAGAGATTAAATCCTCTAGAGACAAGGGGGGAGGGGACTACAACAGAATGAGCCAGAGAACAAGCTCACTCCACTACAAAAAAGAAGCTAACCAATGAAAATAAAACAGCATCAACGAAAAGATAGTTAACACAACTGCGACAGTAACCCATTTAATTAGTTGGGGCATGTATATTCTTCGTGGTTTTATTGCTGTAAACTTGGACCAATGGGGGCTTATCACTAATTTGGGGTTTTTCGTCCAAGTTCAGATCTATTTGTCGGAGAAGGAGAGAAAAGAAGGCGGCGATGAGCCACGGTTCGCCGAGGAAGATGGCGACTCCCTTTGTCTTCTACAAACATAAAAGGCTTGTCAAAGAAGGAAAGAGACGTTACTCCCTCTCTAAACTCATTTTCTAGGTAGTAGCGACGGTTTCCGATGTTAACATATGTAGTTTTCAGCGAATAGTATAGTGAGAGGTTGAAGATTGAATAGATGTCAATGGGGTGGGGCATAATTTAGGTTTATATTTTCTTTTTTGTTTTATGATAATTGTAAAATGAATAAAAAATAGAAATAAAAGTAGTAAATGTAAAATTGTCATTATAAAAAAATCAAAGCAAATTGGATAAAAATCGCAACAAAATCAAACTTTTGGACCATTGGCATGAGATCCAATCTTTTTGGACCAAACTTGCGAGTTTTGACATAACACATGGACCATTCTTGCAATTTTATCTACTTAAAAAGAATCATTTGATTTGCAGTCGATTTTATCATTAAGTATATCATAGTTTTTATGCAATTTTGGTCCCAAAATGTTTTCTTTTGTAAATTTGATCATTGTCTGGAATTATCCTCCACCGATTTTTTTTTTTTTTTTTTTTTTTTTTTTTTTTTTTAAATCCAGATTGTATTAAGTTTAATGATGTGTTTTCTACTGACTTAGTGGACTTGACAGACAAAGAACTTAATTTGAAAACTTAATGAGTTATGCTAGAAAACTTGGTTTGTAACCCTTTACGTATTGTGAGATTTGTTTCTTCGAATTTAAGTAAATGATCATTTAGTCTTGTTTCCATGGTTGTTTTGATGGTTTATTCGGGACAAAACTTCAAAATTGGTCCTTGTGGTTTGTAAAAGTATATGGATAATATCAAAAAGATTTCCAATTTACATGGAAGGTTCAAAATAAAAAATTTCTATAATTTTGATCCTGAAAAAGTTGAAAGGTCAAATTTACCATTTTCATTTTTTTACATTTTGCTTTCATTATATTATTATTTAAATATCTATAAAATAAAGAAAAGGCCCTCCCCTACCATATCCTCCCTCTCTCTCTCTCTCATACACATACATACATTGCAGAAAAATAGATACCAACAAAATATGCTCATCATCGAAAACTAATACAATCGAAAACTACTTTCGATCCATCATCTTGAAGCACCGAAGAAACAAAACGAAGGATAACAGAGCCCATCAAATTCTATCTTTAATTCATCTTCACTCAATCAATCGAAACTCAACTTCAATCTACAAAAGTTAAGTAATTTAATGAACCAAAACTCATTTGCCCGACCATCCTGTGTACCTGAAACAATATTTTGAATGGGAAAATGGGTAAACATAGCTTAGTGAATTTCACACATACACAATATCATATCATATAATCGTTAGCCCTATATACATCGATACAAACGGTATCAACATACAACCATGTATGCATGTCAAAGAACGAATAAGAAACATACATGCTCTGTACGTCGAGTCCTTGGGACACATTGGCTAAGTTCGCTCCCCCATACCCAAACCCATTGGGACACAATGGCCATGCCCGATCCCCATTGCTCTGTACGTTGAGCCTTTAGGACACATTGGCTACGCCCGATCCCCACTCGGATATCCAAGTCCTACCATGCACAATCCTTAATACTTAAGGGAAACCACTAGACTCTACCCCGCCTAGTACTACTCGCATAAACAACACATAGTACACACGGGGTAACATAAAGAAAATGTAATACAACACGGTGTAGTGAGAAACTCACCTCAAGTAGCAAGACCAATCTCCAAACGTAGCCCGGGGCTCACTCACACCAGGTCACCCTTCAATCCTCTTAAACAATAACAATCAAAGTTATAAATGGCTAACCTTTCACTGAAAACATGTAACTAAACTATTAGGTTTAATTTCTAGATTTAACCCAAAACAATAGTCTGTTCAATACTTTTCAATCCCCCTCCCCCCCCCCACCCACCCACCCACACACAAATCCTCCAAACCAGGTTATGAAACCATGATCATGAAGTTCAGGTTAATACCTTTTTCAAGGACTAGTTACACGCGTTCGACTTTCGGCTAAAACAATGAAATAAAATAGACTCACATACAAACTTTGGGTACTAATTTCGACAAGGAACGTCTCTAGTATCAGTTATGATGCTTACAAAAACAGGACATAACAATGGATTTTTCAGATGGATAAAACTAGGGTTAGAGTTCAATCAACTAAACCCATTAAGTCCCAAATTCGATTAAGACCTTCCACGTCTGTAACACATCATCCCTAGGTCCCATAGGACTTTTCCAAGCAATGGGTAAGAAGTCAAACCTAGGTTGTTGAGATTGAAAGCTCCATACAAGCCTTGCACCTAAAACGACTTCGACAACAACCCTAAAACTTATGCCATGATCGGCGATATGTAACTCGATCTCTAGACCTTGGAATTGAAATTACAACGGTCAAAGCTTCAATATATCTCTTGGAAAGCCTCACACCAAATTTCTCGATAATCCAATGGTTCAATCTCCGGGGATCGTCCAGGCACTATTGAAAGGTCTTCAAAAATGTGAATTCCAAGCAATATGGTTCTTAAGGTTAAGTTGTGTTTAAGGGTCGTTAAGTGGCTGACCAAATTTGTTTCTAAGGCCCCCAATTCAACCCAAACCCTTTCTCATTAGGTCCCTAGGTTTGAAACGATATCTCCATTGCCCTTCTTTGCAATATTCTTACTTTTAAGTCCCCAATTCTCATTTCGATTGCTCATAGTTCCAATTATTATCGATTTGACCATCAAGTACTTATAATTTTATTTCATAATCCCCCCATACTTAGTCTTGAAATATTAAATTAACTATTAAAATTCAAAGATCTGAATTTATAATCTCACACTTTAATTTTATGACCCATAATTATAACTATTTGAATTTAATGGAAATTGGGGTGTTAAAACACTCTCCCACTTGAATCATACTTCGTCCTCGAAGTCTCTGTCAATATCATTGTCAATGAAAACTTTAGATAATGCGTCGAAGTCTCTGTCAATATCATTGTCAATGAAAACTTTAGATAATGCGTCCACATCTTCGATTCTAGCTCCTAAGTCCATTCAAACCCCATTTGTTGTTGCCATTTGACTTTTTAGGAGAACGTTGTAAAGGAAATAGAAAGTGCCTATTATTTTATTCATTTTCAAATCTGACCCTTGGTAGAATTGTATACCATGGAATGCTCCAAGGGCTACTTTACAATCCTTGTCACAAGGGAGAGAAGTAACGGGACTAGAATTTATAATATTGGTTGGTTATCTACAAAGG